GGGTATGAGGAGACAAATGATTAAAAAGGGAGAGTGTGAGAATACTTGGGGAGATTAAGTACATGTATGTAACTTGGGTTATATTCATAGGAACTCTGTCATGAGGGGTTAGTTGGGCATAAGAAGGTAAAGGAGGGGACTATGTGTTGCTGGACCTGGGGCCTGGGACTTTGTTACTAATTCCCAGTGTGTCTTATCAAGATGTTTGAGTTCTATGAGAGAGTGTCTGGAGCCCGAATGCATGCTGCATATGTACGGCCAGGAGGAGTGCACCAGGTGAGTGGGTTCCGGACTCCCTGAACCTCCAGCCCAGGCCTGTTTCCTCTGTGGCCACTGGGGGGCAGTGCTGGCCAATTGACTCTAACCCTGTAGCCCTGGGGGAGGGGTGCTGAGCTCGCTCTCCTTAGTGAAGGCTGTGCTGAGCTGCGTTTGGTTTCTAGGACCTACCTCTTGGGCTTATGGATGACATTTATGAGTTTTCTAAGAACTTCTCTCTTCGGCTAGATGAGTTGGAGGAGGTAAGATAAAAGTCAACTGGAAAAATTTCTCTTTCCCCCCAAGAAGGCCTTGTGGGGTTTTAGTCCCCAGTTGTAAAGAAACACAGGAGTATTTAAAGAGTGTTATGGCAAGTATTAACATAGCTGTTTTCTTGATTCATAGATGCTGACCAACAATAGGATCTGGCGAAATCGGACAGTTGACATTGGGGTTGTAACAGCAGAAGATGCACTCAACTATGGTTTTAGGTGGGAGGAATACAACTTCTCTCCTTCGGGATGGGGATGGGAGTGAGGGGTAGTTCCAGCCTAATGTCTTAGCTTTTAAGAATGTTTGATACCCTCCTAGCCATGCCCTGTGTGTGGGAGAAAAACGGGAGACAAAGGAGGAATGTGCCTTCTTATTTGGTTTGTGGAGAGACCCTTATTCCTATTATATTCTCCCCAGTGGAGTGATGCTCCGGGGCTCAGGCATCCAATGGGACCTGCGGAAGACCCAGCCCTATGATGTTTATGACCAGGTCGAGTTTGATGTCCCTGTTGGTTCTCGAGGGGATTGCTATGATAGGTAAGGCTTAGTCTTTCCCCAGTTCACCATCTAGCCAGTTTCTCCTGCTTCACTTTTGTCTTTGCCACTTTCTTCTTTATCCCATTTTCCAAGATCTAAGGGAGCCCCTGTGTCTAACTAGGTTGCTTTTCAAAGCACTTTTTTTTTTTTTTTTTTTTTTATTGAGACAGTCTCATTTTATCGCCCTCAGTAGAGTGCTATGGCATCATAGCTCATAGCAACCTCAAACTCTCGGGTTCAAGTGATTCTCTTGCCTCAGCCTTCCTAGTAGCTGGGACTACAGGTGCCTGCCACAACACCTGGCTATTTTTTGTTTGTTTGTTTAGCAGGCTCAGGCTGGGTTTGAACCTCCCAGCCCTGGTGCATGTGGCTAGCAGCCTCACCACTGAGCTACGGGCACCCAGCCCAAAGTACTTTCATGCATATGGCATCTTATTGTATCTTATGTTATCCCAGTCTCAGATAAAACTAGTTTTGGCTTCATGGTGAGAAAGCTGAGACATGTAAGTTAGGAATTAGTCTGGGATTATTCTGTCAGTGGTGCTTGAGACTAGAATCTTCCCAACTCAGTGCTCTTTCTACTAGATTCTGAGCTTAAAATTCTCCTGTTTACTGACCCTGAGTCAGATGTGCTACTGTGTTTTTTGTTGTTGTTTTTTTTTTGTAGTCCATTTGATTCTCACTGATTCTGTAGTCCAGAAAGTGTCTAAGAGGATGATTAAAGAGGGAAATACTGGCTCAGTGCCTTTAACTCCGTGGCTAGGTGTCAGCCATAAACACCAAAGCTGGCAGGTTTGAATCCAGCCAGGCCTGCCAAACAACAGTGACAGCTACAACCAAAAAATAGCTGGGCGTTGTGGTGGACACCTGTTGTCTCAGCTACTTGTGAGGCTGAGGCAAGAGAATTGATTAAGCCCAGAGTTGGAGGTTGCTGTGAACTGTGAGGCCACGGCACTCTACCCAGGGCTACAGCTTGAGACTCTGTCTCAAAAACAAAAGGTTCAGTGCCTGTAGCTCAAGCGGCTAGTTCGCCAGCCACATACAGCAGAGGTAGCGAGTTTGAATCCAGCCTAGGCCTGCAAAACAGCAATGACAACTACAACCAAAAGAAAAAAAAAGCTGGGTATTGTGGCGGACACCTGTAGTCCCCGCTACTTGGGAGGCTGAGGTAAGAGAATGACTTAAGCCCCCCAAAAAGAGTTTCAGGTTGCTATGAGCTGTGATGCCACGGCAGTCTACGGAGGGGGGATATAGTGAGACTCTAGTCTCAAAAAAAAAAAAAAAAAGGGAACTATTACAGACCATGGTCTGAAAAATTAAGGAGAGAGTTTGTGGAGGAATCTAACTCTTTTGAGGTCAGCCATAGGGCATCCTTCTCAGTCTCATACCTGTCCCTCTGACTGTTCACTTCATCTGAGTCTGTCTTGTCTATTTCAGGTACCTGTGCCGGGTGGAGGAGATGCGCCAGTCCCTTCGAATCATTGTACAGTGTCTAAATAAGATGCCTCCTGGAGAGATCAAGGTTGATGATGCCAAAGTGTCCCCACCCAAGCGAGCAGAGATGAAGGTTGGCCGCAGGGAGAGGGGAAGTGGGGATTAGAAAGGGGCTAGTAGCTAGGGAGGAGTATTCTTAAATACTACCTTTCAGTTTTCCTTTTTTTTGGAGACAGAACCTCAAGCTGTCAACCTGGGTAGAGTGTCATGGCATCACAGCTCACAGCAACCTCAAACTTTGGGGCTTAAGCAATTCTCTTGCCTCAGCCTCCCAAGTAGCTGGGACTACAGGTGCCCATGACAACACCTGGCTGTTTTTTTTTCCTCTTTTTCTCTCTTCTGGCTATTTTTTTTTATTGTAGTTGTCATTGTTGTTTTAGCTGACCTGGCTGGGTTCAAACCCGCCAGCCCAGATGTATGTGGCCCGCACCCTACCCACTAAGCTATGGGCGCAGCCTCAGTTTTCCTTTTGCAAAGAATTCTCTGTGTAAGATTCTTTTTTTTTTTTTTTT